TGTTCCATCGTATCCCCCTTTCTGCATATCATGATATCCAATTCAATCAAATTATACTACCCACATACATGTACATCGTCTTATAGAACGAACAAAATCCGTTTTTTTTATCGGGAAATTACCTTAGAAATAATTATTTTTAATCCTAAATATTAAGTCTTGCATATATTTAGTTCCAGAAATATCATTTTCCGTTTTTTTCTTCAAAGTCTATGAAATAATATTGATAATTCTTTGAAATCTTAAATATTAATTAGGCCGTATTTCGTTTTGAAAATATTGATTCCTAAATATTTTGAACTATTTTGAGTGAAGAATCGTGCGTTTGCGTTATCAATCGTGTAAGATCGTGTAACGTGTAGAATCGTGAACGTGAAAGATCGTTCGTGTAACATGTTTAATCGTGCGTTAATCGTGCGGAATCGTTCGTGTAACGTGATCGTTCGTGTAAGTTGTCAACAATAACGTTCCAGCCACTGTATGAGTGAAAAATTCTCGAGAGGGACGTTAAACAATATACAATCAATCAATCTTTTCAAAAATATTAGTAGCGACATTCTAACCAACCAACGAATATGAGAGTTGTTAGTAAACAGTGATAAACATAACATTTGATCTCTTGACGAAAGTTGTCTTTTTTATTAGGTTTTAAATATCTAAATGGCAAAAAGATAGGTATTATCTGTGATTTCGGACTCACTTGCAACGATTTCTGATTGACACAGAAACCGATTTTTTCCGTGCCTTTCTTCATTACATTTCACTTTTTCTAGCTTAGTATCACCGGTTTCATCTTCACCATTTTCGATAACTTCAACATAAACATGTTGTACTGCACATTGAGGACTTAAGTATGTATCGCTGGCAAAAGAAGATTCCGAAGAGATAATTTCTTTCTGAAGATTTTTGTCATTGTAAACTTCAATCTTATCTGAAAATTCTTGGATATCCTGATATATAGTTTCTCGTTCCTGATCGTCTTTTGTGGTTTCATTCAAATGTTCATTATATTGAGGTTTGCTTGCGACATTTCCTTTCTGAACACACATATAGGATTCTGACGAATTTTGTTTTACCATGTGTATATGTGTATTCCTCTTACTTCTTCCTCTTTCAACCGATTTTTTCAATTTTTGCCTTATCCCATAATATAGAAGGGCAAAGGAAAATAAAATCAAAATAGAACTAAGAGAGCTGGAAAAACCTATTAGCCATGAATTACTTTTCAGAGAATTCTGAACTGGATTATCATCTTCTGTTGTAATTTGAGTGGCATATGTGGATTGTTCAAATGCCTTAAAAACATTTGTCATCGTAGGAGGACTGTCTGAAAATATACAAAAACAGATTCAAGTGTTTCATTTTCTTTCAAATATAGTATTTTCATTAATATTTGCCTACAAATCGGAGTATTGCATCATAAAATTTGATAAAGTAATTCATAAGCACAATTATTTATTTCTGTTTTAAAACCCTCAAAGGTCGAGGTGGGGAAAGGGCTGAATCTGACTCTTTTTTAAGCAAAAATCAGAATACTTGTAAAATTATGATACTTTTAATGATGCTTGCTTCAAACACTAATTTGGACACGAAGCGTACATGAAGGCCACTAGAGGAAGCGGAAATTGGACATTTTCCAACATTTTCTTCAATTCTATTTGAAATTCATCATATTTGAGATATTTTTTTCTCTTCGGAAAAAGTAAAAGCTTGCCTATCTCGGATTTTTATTTATAAATTGCATCTGATACTAGTGTACAAAATATATAAATTTGCTAGATAGGCAAGATTCTGCTCTTTGTTTTTTTTTTTTTCGACACAAAAAGGACTGTTAAATTTATAAAAATGAGAAAATGATAAAATAAAAAAAGACCTATTTTCTTACTCCTCTGTGCCCTTTGTTTTCCAAAAATTCGAACCTATCTTTATTTTGTTGCAGAGATGATAATAGTTTTTAATGGATAAACTTTGTCATTGGTATAAAAGATATCCAAAATCAGGGGCCAAAAAGAGTCAAAGCCTATCTTGTCCATTACCAATACACTTCCAAAAGCAATATCTCTTATGAATCGTTCTCAAAAAAAGGGAAAAAAAATTGATGGGAGACTAAGGCTGAAATTCCATTATTTCTCGATCTTTTATACTTTATGTTATTGAAAATATTAAATATGAAAAACGAAACATTCTTTTTATATTCATTGCTCGGTAGCAAGCAAAATGAATTCATTTATAAATCCCCCCAGTATCTTTACATTTTGTAAGTATGAAACATTAATCTTTTTTTTTTTTCTTGTCAAATATTTTGTTTCATCCTAGTGAAGAACATAATTATTTAATTGTATTAAATCAAATGTTGACATAATTGGAAAATATTTAATGAGACTTCTCTTAGTATACGATAACTGATCGATAACACGTCTAAAATCAAGGAAGTTTAAACGTTAGCCAATAAGCAAAGACAATTGTCAAACTAGTATACAGTAAATGTCATATGATGCAAATTAAACTTTAGATATAAAATTACAAATTTAACAAAGCATTGTTTGCATGAGAAATTTGTCATCTCCAACTGTAATATTTTTAAACAATTGAATTATCTTTTTAAAAATACAAGCATGTACTAGGAATAATACAGCCGACAGTTGCATTGCAAAATTCGGCAGTACATAAACACTCCCCCTGGCATTCCAATCCAAAGTTAGGAAATCTGCATTTTTCCTCACATTTTTCTCCATAAAAGCCTGGTTTACATTCTAATACAAAACAAATTATTTACGTTTAATATTCATTAAATGAGGTTAAAACGTGGAATTAATTTTTTAAGTGCATGTATTACTTAAACGATAATATAATTCAAATTCTAATTGGAAAATGTAAATATTACGAATGCATGTTTGATTTTTTTCATCCCAACTGTGTCCAAAGCAGCAGTTTTGTCCTATAACACTGAAAAAACAAACACAAAAACTATACAGATGAAACAATTCCTATAAAGGGTCGATATATTAAAAAAATGAAGATTGAAAGTACTAACTAGCTTCTTAACTTACTTCAAGCATATTGCTAGCACATTATATCCTATGACAGTGATGCATGCCACATAAAGAAGAAGCATAATGCAATCTTTATCAATATTGAATCCAGGAAAATTATCTAAACATGTAGTTTAAAATATTAAAATAAATCATGAAAATTTATTTCCCGTTTGTTCACGTGGAGATAAAAACATTTCCTGCTAAATCTTGTTGTTGTTATTTCAAATTTGTACAAGTGTAGACTAACTCAACCGTGCAATATTGCGTTGAGCATCAGGAATTTGAACTCGATGTCGAAAGATCACGATTAACATGTATTTTTCAAATTGATAAGCACATTATTAAATGAGATAAACAATAAGGTAGACTTAAGTTTATGGATCACAGTTCGATCCCAGTATAAAGATATTACGTTAAATAGACTTTCGTGATGTATATTTTGAAAATTATTTAAAAATGTCCGTATACAATTACTTTTTCAAAAGTATTAAATATACATGTAAATCCAAAATACTCCTTAATACGAAGTTATATTTCTTCATACATTTTTTCATACATATTCCATCTAAGAAAAGTGTTTTTTTTTAACTCACCGAAAGATAGAATGTGCCATAAATGTATATAGGTGGCGCTGCTTGATTTTAAGCATAAACAAATTAAGGTGCTGTCCTGTACATTGTAACTGTCAGAAAATAAAATAAATTTGACAGACCCGAGAGTCGCAATGGAAAAAAACATGATTGTGCAAAAAATGTTTCAATCTTTTCCGAAATGATTTTCTTGAATTATTAACTCAAATACACTGCACCAAAAAGTATACATGTACATGTATACTGATAAACGTCAGAGATACTCAAGCTGTAGAAATCAAGTAGAAAGTGTCATAGTATATCCTATAATGGTATAAGACAAGTTGCTGTCCTTTAAACAAGAGGCACATCGGCCACATTGCTCACCTGAGAAGCTTTGATCATTCTGTTCTTTACTGGATTTCCTTCTTGTAATACATAATGCATCCCCACCCTGCCCCAAGGATCATAATTTAGACATTTTGAAATCTACACTATCCTAGGATCCTTCCATGAGCACATAAGTTTCAGCTTTTCTGGTCCAGTGGTTCTTGAGATTTCCTATATATTTCTATGTAAAACTTTGATTCCCCATTGTGGCGTCGCCCTTTCCCCGGGGGTTTTTATTTGAACAATTTAGAATCTACACTACCCCAGGATGCTTCCATATAAGTTTCAGCTTTTCTGACCCAGTGGTTCTTGAGGAGAAGAAAATTTTCAAAGATTTTTCCTATATATTCCTATGTAAAACTTTGATTCCCGATGGTTGCCCCGCCCTTCCCCCGGGGGATCATGATTTGATCAATTTAGAATCAACACTACCCCAGGATGCTTCCACGTAAGTTTCAGCTTTTCTGGCCCAGTGGTTCTTGAGAAGAAGATTTTCAAAGATTTTTCCTATATATTTCTATGTAAAAATTTGATTCCCTATTGTGGCCCCGCCCTTCCCCCTGGGGTCATGATTTGAACAATTCAGAATCTACACTACCCCAGGATGCCTCCACATAATTTTCAGCTTTTATGACCCAGTGGTTCTTGAGGAGAAGATTTTTTTTCTATATATTTCTATGTAATACCTGGATTCCCCATTGTGCCCCACCCTACCACCGGGGGTCATGATTTAAACAATTTAGAATTAACATTACCCCAGGATGCTTCCATATACGTTTCAGCTCTTCTGGCCCAGTGGTTCTTGAGAAGAAGATTTTTAAAGATTTTTCCTATATATTTCTATGTAAAACTTTGATTCCCCATTGTGGCGTCGCCCTTTCCCCGGGGGTTTTTATTTGAACAATTTAGAATCTACACTACCCCAGGATGCTTCCATATAAGTTTCAGCTTTTCTGACCCAGTGGTTCTTGAGGAGAAGAAAATTTTCAAAGATTTTTCCTATATATTCCTATGTAAAACTTTGATTCCCGATGGTTGCCCCGCCCTTCCCCCGGGGGATCATGATTTGATCAATTTAGAATCAACACTACCCCAGGATGCTTTCACGTAAGTTTCAGCTTTTCTGGCCCAGTGGTTCTTGAGAAGAAGATTTTCAAAGATTTTTCCTATATATTTCTATGTAAAAATTTGATTCCCTATTGTGGCCCCGCCCTTCCCCCTGGGGTCATGATTTGAACAATTCAGAATCTACACTACCCCAGGATGCCTCCACATAATTTTCAGCTTTTATGACCCAGTGGTTCTTGAGGAGAAGATTTTTTTCTATATATTTCTATGTAATACCTGGATTCCCCATTGTGCCCCACCCTACCACCGGGGGTCATGATTTAAACAATTTAGAATTAACATTACCCCAGGATGCTTCCATATAAGTTTCAGCTCTTCTGGCCCAGTGGTTCTTGAGAAGAAGATTTTTAAAGATTTTTCCTATATATTTCTATGTAAAACTTTGATTCCCCATTGTGGCGTCGCCCTTTCCCCGGGGGTTTTTATTTGAACAATTTAGAATCTACACTACCCCAGGATGCTTCCATATAAGTTTCAGCTTTTCTGACCCAGTGGTTCTTGAGTAGAAGAAAATTTTCAAAGATTTTTCCTATATATTTCTATGTAAAATTTTGATTCCCCATTGTGGCCCCGCCCTTTCCCCGGGGGTCATGATTTGAACAGTTAAGAATCTACACTATACCAGGATGCTTCCATATAAGTTTCAGATTTTCTGACCCAGTGGTTCTTGATGAGAAGATTTTTTAATGACCGCACCCTGTTTTTGTCTTTTCTTGACTTGGCCCTTCATTTTAACAATTTAAATTTCCCTTCACCCAAGGATGCTTTGTACCAAGTTTGGTTAAAGTTGGCCCTGTGGTTCTTGAGAAGAAGTCGAAAATGTGAAAAGTTTACAGACGGACAGATGGGCAGACAGACAGACGGACGGACGACGGACAAAATGTGATCAGAAATGCTCACTTGAGCCTTCGGCTCAGGTGAGCTTAAAAAGGACTACAATACGTGGACCAAATACATGTTTTCTTTTAACCGAAATTCAATCAAAGAAAATTGAATAAGTTTATTGGATATTAATGTAGGTTCGTTCGCTTTTTCTAAAGTGATCTCTCTACTTTGACCGATAGTACTTTCATAGCAAAATTGTTAAATTTAATCTCCGCTTGTATATATTTTTGTTATTTTCAAATCCAGGCTTTTTTGATACATATATAACCCATACTGGCTGGTAATTAACATATACCTGAACTGAATTGAACTGAACTGAATTTTTTTTTCAATTTCAAAATTCAGTTCAGATCTGTAGTACACAGATTTTTTTTTTCTGGAGCCCTCCCCCCACCTCCCCAACATGGAATACCGTTGCTAAAGGCTTGCAATTGTGTCAAGGTGTATTTGAATCTATATACATGTATTTCAAATTTTTTAGCGAGCCTTAATAATGCCGGTGAAGACTTGTTTTATCTTTTAAAAACCTACAACTAGTATGTAAGTGGGTGAAACACAATGTAGGGAACAGTAAGGTACCTTGGGTGTAAAAAATTAATGTCTTTATTTTACCAAAAAAAATATTTTTTCTACAAAGTAGTGTATCTAAAGGATCTGAAAAATAAATGGTTTTGTGAAATTCACATAAGAACTTTGTGTTTTACAAGCTGATAATAACCTCATTTTCAAAGGTTACGGACACTACAAGTGTTGTTTTCTTTGAAATAAATATTGAAAACTGTTTTTAAGCTCCAATTTTTTCAACTGCTCACAAACAAACAACATAGAAAAATACTAAATATGGACAAAAGTTTGACTAGAAAAGGTGGCATTATACTTTAAAATGAAAACATTTCTTACTTCGTACATTTTTGTTTAAAATGGTAGTATTTCATTTCATGTGAACTCTTTAAAACCAATATAGATAAAGAAAAAAAACTATTTATAAATAAAACTTTTGATGCGTTTGGTGAAATATAAATACTTCTATTAAAATATAACATTTCATTTTTATAAATTTTCTAAAATAATTTGTTAGCTTCATTAAGTTACGGACACTACAAAACCCAAATATATATGATCGGCTTTTGGTTTGTGGCAAAAAAAAAAAACATTTATAAACTTCTTAACTATTATAAATCAGATTTAAATGATTATTAAATACAAAGTACATACAAATTAGATATTGTTTCAAGTAAAAACAATTTACTTGTATAACTAATGCCAATAGAAAAAAAATCCACGTTAGGAAATCCTGAAACTTCCTTTTTTCACATAACTACATGTATATATTAACTGAAGTGCAAAAGAAAAGTTCTATTATTCATTAAAGTTTCATGAAAACTATTTAGAATGTATACGTATACAACTATCAATGAAGTCAGGTAACCAAATTTAAGGGTTACGGACACTTCACAATACTTAAATTTTTCACAGGCTTGTGGATGAAGTTTTTCTTTTTAAGCCCTTTTCCTAACTTTTTAAAGCATCTTATTTCTCGTTTCAGTTTCTCCTGATTTGATCTCAACTTCGTCTCTTAAAAGCATACCATAACCAATATACTTTGAATAAATATATACACGTGTAACTTTATACAAGTGTTATGTGCGAGTAGAAAAGTCGAACTTTGAGGAATAAAGCTCACTAATATTGCTATATTATTATTATTCTTTTATTCTGTGAAGCATTGTATTTTCCTTCAAACAGTTAAATATGCAATACTTGATCTGAAATTGGTGTAATTTTAGCTGTTTTTTTTTTGAAATTTTTTGTAGTGTCCATAACCAAATTACTTCCCTACTGTTTAACATTTTGAATGCAAATTTACTTGCATTTAACACATTTTTAAGATATTACCTAATAAGCAACTAGACAACTGAAGCAATAATCACAAGAAATATGGGTTATGTAACTAATGATAATAATGTCTAACTATTTTTATATGTCATTGTGGGTGTCCAGTAAAGAAAATAAAACACATGATCTAAAGGAATTCCAGCTAATAAACACCTTTTTATCTCTAAATTCAATAATACACTGTTTCAAAAATTTATCTGTAAATTTTATGGAGAAAAAATAAAGATTTTTTATTTTTCAACTTTTGGTTACGGACATTACAC